CGAAAGCAGCTGGTCGTCAGCAGACAAGTGCTAATCAGTTTTAGTGACTCGAACATGGCTGTACTAATGAAACAAGCGACTCCTCGAAACCCAACTTTTCTTGGTATATATCATCCTAACAACCAAATGCAGGCTAACGAGTCGATCGACTCGAGGAATCTGCCGTCTTCTTCTGTAAGAATCGACCTTCGAGTCATTTTGCCAAACTCTTTCACTCGAAATGGAAGTAAGTTGAACAATTAAGAAACTCCTGCCCTGGTGCATATGGCCCAGACTTGGATGCCGTTGAGGATGTTGACGAGATGGAGAGGCGAGGTCGAAACACTAATACTTACATCAATTGTGGAATTGCAACTTGTTGTTTGCGAGAGGTTATGGCACAGTCGCCGAGAACCCTATTTTCGTCAGTCTTCTACTGTCTGTTCTAACGAGGCGAATGGCGGAGAAGGCCTCCGCCGCCACTCCTCACACGAACGGCATAGCCACCGGCACCTTTAAGACCAAATCTGTGCTGCCACCGCGCGGACGGATCATGTCGGCGCGAGCGGAAAAATATCATATTGAAAGTGAATTCAAGTGGTGGCCGATATGATCCCACAACAAAAAAATGTGATATCAAAGGGGCTGTGGTTGTGTTGAGCTGCGCTTTTGGCCCGTTACCGGCTGGCGTAGCGGCAACAGGTTGAAATTGAACACGGCACTGCCGCGACGCGAGTTCGACGCCGGCCAGAATCAGAATGGTTTTCGTGACCATTGGCCAAGTCAGCTCCGTCGGGATCATCAGGCCCACTCATGTCATTGTGGGAAATGCAAGCCTCCTTTAGCGATTTGGAGAGACTATGGCTCCTGCTCACGATCTACCGATTAGGTCGAAATTCCACTCCGACCAACGCATCTAAACTGGCATTGGCCTCGCTTTCACGTAATGCCACCATCCCATGCGAGCCCTCGCACAACACCCTCCTCACGTCTTCCAGCGTTGCTTCTTCACCTCGGCCCACCCTCTTACGCCTGACCGGTGACGTAATCGTCGAGGTTGCCTAAGAAGGTCACAGGATGCGGAGGGCACCAACAGGGTCGTCAAAAGACGGATTTGGCCACATCCCATTTTCTCAAGTAGCCCCCGATTCCACCTTGTCCCCTACCAGCTGACACACACACACACACACACGTATGTATACATCTACATTTCGTTGCGTGGGCAGAGTTCGCTCAACTTTGGTCTGTACCAGGCGAGCAGGCGTGGACACGGCTCAAGTGGTACAGCCAAACACCGTCTGCCTCAAGAACTTACTCGCTCCTCTTCCTCCAGCCCGACTGCTGCTCATCGCCCATCTGCTCGTCTGTCTGCCCACCCGTTCCGAGCCACGCCTCGCCGCGTCATGAGCATGCAACCGGACAAATGCAACGTGAGCAGGCCGAACCCACCAGCACACACTCACACACAACCGAGGCCACACCAAAAAGGAGAGGCAAGACGACCCAACTGTCTCGAGGTTCGAATCCATACACATCATGTGCCTTGCCATGTGAATTGATGGTACCACATCGGAGCAGCGAGAGAATAAAGGGCTTCGGTCCGAAGTCGGGTCGGGTCGTCGCGGACCAAGCTCCTCTCCGTCCCACTACATCGGCTCAACTCAACTCAACTCAACTCAATTCAAAGGTATAAAGACCAAGATGGTGTGGCCTTTTGTGTGGTTGCAGTCTCCTTTCGGTGAATAGAAGTTGTTTGACCTTGTTTTCGCAACTCGGTCATGTTGGTAGGAAGACTTA